GTGCCACCTGGCCTAGGACACTGAATTCTGCTAAACAGATGCCCCCCAACCCCATTATACCTACAATGGCCTACTGGCTTTTACTCTCCTCCCAGAGGAAGGGGAAGGGGAAAGTTTCAGGGAATAAAGAGGCCATACTGGTAATTATTGATTAGTCAGGGCCAGAGGCCAAAGGGGTCTGCATGTCTGTCCAACCCCATCCCACAGTACTTCTTCTTTTTTTTTTTTTTATTAAAGATTTATTTATTTATTTACACAAGCACTGAGTACAGTCAGAAGCGCGGGAGGGGGAGAGAATTCACCAGCGCCGGAAGGGAGAGCAGAGCAGGCAGAAGGACCGAAGTACACTGCTGAGGGGAGCAGCGGGCGGCAGGAGAGGTCTGCACGCCATGTAGGACCCTCACCGGTGGCTGGGGATAGAACGGGCACTGCAGAGGCTGTGGGCAGCCTAGCAACACAGCTTTCAACCGCTGCGCCACCTGGGAGGCCCCCAGCAGTACTTCTTAAAATGTCATTTCCAGAGGTGGAGATAACATAACCCAGCTCTTGTGTGCATAAATAAATAAATCTTAAAAAAAAAATCATTGCTCCTAAAGGTGAATGGAGAACAAAGGGCATTGTTTTTTTAAACGGTCCCAGTTGAGATTTGGTAACATCTCAGCCCAAACCTGGGGTGTAGGGGCAGGGCAGGAACAGGGGGCGGGGAAAGACTCTCCTGAGCCAGGCTATCTGGAACCTTGCTGTCACTAATTGCCAGTGTCACCTTTGGCAAATCACTTTCCCTCAAGAAGCCAGAGTTTCCTTATCTGCAAACCAAGGAGGAAGAACAGATCATGAATAAGTTCCCCTTTGGATTTAAAGCTATCTATGTATTTATTCTCTGGGTCCTACAGTCCTCTGTTGCCAGCAAGCTTCTAGAAATTTAGTTTCTTCTGTTGAAACCTGACAGTATTTGCAGGCTGAGAAGGAGCCTGATAAAGGGGTGCAAGTTCAGAGCTTCCCCCTCTAGGGGAGATGGAGGGTAACTGCAGGAACACTCACTGGGTGGGGCAAGGCTCAAGAGACCAGGCTCTGCACCTCCACTCTCCCCTCCAGCCCACCCAAACCCAGGGGCCTGTTGTGATGGGGACAGATGTTCTACAGGGTCCTTGGCTCTGGGCCCACTGAGCCCTCACTCAGAGAAAGTTCTGGGCCAGGAGCCAGACTTCTAGAGTTGCCACTTAACAGCTGTGCAGTCTTGAACAAGTCACTTTGCTTCTCTGAATCTCAGTGTACTCATCTGAAGTTTGGGGACAACATGTCCTTGCCCTCAGGGTTCAGAAGTTCACAGGAAACTGTGTATGTGGAAGTACTATGTAAGCATAGGTTACCCAAGAGAGGTGCCTGGTTAAAGTCCTCCCTGCTCCGTCTGCTGCAGTCACCGCAGCCTGTCTAAAATCCCTGGGTGCCGGGGTGCTCCAGCTCTGGGGTTCTCATTTCTGTTTCCTAGTGGCCCCGTATCACCATCCCCACTCTCTAACTCCCCCTTGGAGCTCTAGTTAAATCCACATCTCCATGGGCCTGGGTCTTCAGCCCTCCCTGGGGACCAAAGGCAGGCAGGAGATGCTGGTGAGTCCGTGGCTCAGGCATAAGGAGCCAGGTCTGGCTGAGTGTAGATCAGGCTGAACTGTACGTTTTCTTCTCTTCCTTATCAGTGCTTTTCATAACAAAGCCTGGAGTGTTGGCCCAAGAATTTTGAACCTCCACTTAACCCCAGGGGAGCCCACATCTTCCAGAAGAAAAACCTCACTGTGCCAGGCACAGCAGTAGGGGCACAGACATGGGCTTTATGGTATGACGGGGACGTCTGGGTAGTGGACAAAGTCAGCATGGGATTTGGAGGAAGGCATCCCAAAAAGAGGTTATTCCTATCTATTCCAACCCTGTGGATGATAGGATTCCAGGGAAGTAGGGAAGAGACTGGATGTCTGCCTGGAGAAGACACCCCAGCCACATCTTAAGAGGTCAGTAGGGTGTAAGACAAAGGAAGAGAATTTCTGGCAGAGGGAAGAACTCAGACTTAGGCATGTAGGTGAAAAGTGATAAATAGTATGGAAACATATTCAAGACATGGAGGAGATGCAGAAGATGAGTTTTAAAAAATAAAGGGACAGAGTCTTTAATCTGAACCACAAAAGCAATAATTTACATATGATTACTCTCATCTTATAAATCAGGAAATAGAGGTTCAGGAAGGTTCAGCCACTTGTTGAAATTGTTATAGGACAGGGAGAGGGGCAGCCCAAAACCCCGCAAACCTGCCTGTTCTAAATGGGTTCTGTCATCCGCCGCATCAACACAAAACATATGAGACTTTAATGGGAAGGAACTTTAATAAAACTAGGAAACAATACAGGTAAGGCAAAGAGTCTAGTTTCTAAATGAAGCACCCAAAGTTACCCGTCCCCTCGTGGGTAAAAGTCCATCCAAATGGGATTGGCCCAGAGCAAAGCCCCAAAGCCTGCCACAAGTCTAAAGCATCTTCCAGTGGGGACCCACAGCAAAGGGTCAGAAATAACCAGACAAGCCCGGAAGGAAAAGAGCAAAATCAACATCAAGATAAAAGCTGCCATTGTCACCTCCCCATGGGTCTCACCCACGTCTGTGTCACCCAGTCCACAACCCAAAGACAAGCGCAGTTTCTTCACGTGTCTCTAGGCTCCATGCGCCTCCTCCAGGTCTCCTGGCTCCATCCTGCTTCCTTCCTTCCTCAGTCTCTTCTGCAGCTTCTCCTCTTCCTGCTCAGCTCCAACCTTCCTTGGGTGGGGCAGGGAACCTGGAACCTCCCCCTTTCCTGGGGACCACCCTGTTACAAAATCATGCAGTCAGAACACAGGCGCCACACCAGCAGGAGGCCCAGTTGGTGCAGAAGCTGGGATGGGTGTTAGACACTTGTTCTCGTCTTCAACATCCTTCTTTCAGACGCAGAGTGGCCGGCTTCCTGCAATTTTATGGTTTCAGGCTGCAGCTTGTAGTCTCTTTTTGATCATTTTGGGGCATCTGCCCCAAATAGAGGGTGGGGATAACCACAGAGGGAGCCCTGTTGGAACCCCATTTTAAGTAGGAGAGAGGCTAGCAGCCAAAAGGTCTACCTTCCAAGGTGAATTTCTTTCCTTGTCTGTGGGCGTGACTGAAGCCAAACCAGCTTCTCTCATGGAATGGGGAGGTATGTGCCTGGTTCATCTGGCACTGCTGATGGTGTGGTTCCCACAGAAAGACTCAGATGCATGCCCATTCCAGCTGCCCCGGGAGCCTGATCCTGCTTAGGGTCAGCCTGAAGCCCAAAGTGGAGAAGCACATGCTAGTTCGCAGTTACTGGTCCAGAAGCTTCTCAGCCTAGACTTTACTTCAACATCCCCGCACTCCCTCCCCCTCCAAACTAGACTCTGAGGCCACTCTATCAGCTTCAGGCTCCCTGGGGGAAACTTGGTGGGTCTTTGTGGTTGCTCCTGAAAGCCAAGTACCAGTTTCTATCTGTCAAAGTGGGGGTTGGGGAGGAACTTGAAGATTCTCATCTGTCGAGCACCTGTGGTCCAGACCACGGGTGAAGTGTCTAAATACCATCCCCTGCAATCTTCATAAGCTCCTGACCAATATAGACTTTCTTATCTCTAGCCGACAGATGAGGAAACAAAAATTCAGGGATTTTCAACAGCAGTCACAGACATAGCAGGTGGGGCTCACAGTAGGTGGATCGGAGCCCAGGTCTGTCTGCCTATCTCCAAAGTCCTGTTTCCTTGCCTGTGCTGAGACTGCAGGGAACAGGCTTGGAGAAAGTACTTTTGCTGAAGTGAGTCTTCCCATGTCCAAGCCTCATTTCTTTTTTTTTTTTTAAATAATAAATTTTATTTTTTTATTCCCCATACAATTGCAACCTCCCCATTCTGACCCCAATCCCTCCCCTCCTGCCCCCCACACCCCAAAAAGTGTCTCTGGTTCATAGTTTTTTGTTGATTTTGATTTTCACTTTCTTATAGTTATTCATTTTCCTGGTCCCTTATTTAAGTTTTCTAGATTCCTGCTATGAGTGAGACCATCCAGTATTTTTCTTTTTCTTTTTGGCTTATTTCGCTGAGCATGATCCCTTCCAGCGCCATCCATGTTGCTGCAAATTGCATGTGTTTATCTTTTTTGAATGCTGAGTAATATTCCATGGTGTATATGTACCACATCTTCTTGATCCAGTCATCTATTTTTGGGCATTTGGGCTGTTTCCAAAGCTTAGCTATTGTAAACAGTGCTGCTATAAACATAGGGGTGCAGGTGCTCTTTGGAATTGATGTTTCTGTGTCCTTTAGGTAAATACCTAGGAGTGGAATTGCTGCATTTCAACCGATGAAATCAGAATCCCTGGGGGTGGAACCCAGATAGCCGGTGTTTTTTAGGACTCCGGGCGATCGCAATGGGCAGCCTGCACTATTTTACCGTAAAGTAGTGCACATCTCTCCCCCGGGGCTCCCCAGCTGCACCTTTCACAGAGTAATTCTGTTCACGAAACTAGAAATCAAAACCGAGCCAGTGGGGGCAGCGCCCGGCCGGGGGCGCGCGGGGCCCGCGCGGGGCTCAGGTGTGGCGCGGCGGCAGGAAGCCGCGGCCCTGGGCGGCCGGTGCGCGGGGCTGTTGCGCCATCCGCTCCCGCTTTCGTAACCGCGCTCCGGGACGGCCGAGAGTCACTCCGGCGCGAGTTCCTCAAATGTTTTTCTGCGTTGCCAGGACTGTCCGCTGCTCTGAGTCATGTGCAAGTGGGAAGTCGCGCTGACACGGAGCCCGGCCAGAGGCGGCGGCGAGTAGGAAGGCGCGGGGCTCGAGGACCCGCCGTGCCAGCCGAGCGCGGGCTCCCGGGGTAGGCGCTGCCGCCCGCCGGACCCGAGCCCGCCCGCCCGTCGCCCCGCTCCGGCCGCCCGGGGCCGCCTCGCCCGTCTGTCTCTCCGGGGCCATGGGGCTGTAGCCGAGGAGAAAGCATGCTGGCCGTCCGCTGCGCGCTGCTGAGCGCCCTGCTCGCCGCGCCGGGGGCGGCCGTGGCCCCCGGGGACTGCCCCGCGCTGGGTAAGGGCTCCGCGCGCGCCTGGAGGGCTGGCGCGGCCGGCGGGTGGGGGAAGCCGGTGTGGCCGCGGCGGGGGGGGGGTAGGGGCGGTTGGTGGGAGGAAAGCAGGGCGGACGGCTCCCCCTTTTCGTGGCCCGCTTAGGTCCCCGCGGGTACGAGGTGCGGTCCGGGGCTGACCCAGCTGCTGGGTCGCGGGCGGTCGCTCGCGCGCCCCCTGCCGCCTCCTGCGCCCTCCGCGGGGTGCGCTCTCCCTGAGAGCGGTGGGGGGCCGGGAAGCTGCCTTTTGTATTCGCCCGGGCGGCGGGTGCGCTCCCAGAAACCTGTGTCTCGCGTCTCCTTCCCATTCCCACACGAGCCTTCACACCAGTGAGTCCGGGACCTCCGGACGCATCTAGGGAAAAATCGAGTTTGTACCCTGGGGATCTTTTGTGCCAGGGCCGCTCTTGTCCCTAAGCTTTTGGGGCCACCTCCCTTCCGTCAGCCCCAGGTGTGAGGGTGGATTGACAGTGCCCTGACTGTGAAGGGGCTGACAAGGGCGCTGAGTCACACACAGAGCCTCTCCACTGCCTGCACTGTCTTCAACACATACCAGCTCTTAGGGAATTTAACCTAAGTGGGGAGATTGGTGAGGGAATGGGTTGGCGGGGGGCAGCATCCCCTGGACTCCCCTTTCTGAGGAGGGGTGAGGTCGAGGACAACTCCAGTGGACTGTGATCTGCCCCTGGTAGGCTGGCCTTTTTATGGGCTCTGGCCACCAGCCCTGTGTGTCTACTCTCTGGAGAGGCTGGACAATTGCTCCCCAGAGGTTTATTTTAGGATGGGAGAGCTTCTTTGAGGACACAGAGGAAAACCAAGGGGGCAGCTGGTAGACTTCTGGGAACAGATGTGGTGGGTGATGGGTGACTCTGGCTTTTACCGCTAGACCACACTGGGCTCCTGCCCTGGGTGAATACCCTTGGCCCAATGTCTCGCTGCTGGGAGATAAGGTTCTAGAACTAGAGGCCTCAGTGCCTGCAGCTAACTTTGCTTTTTGGAAGGGGTGTTCCTTGTGCCTGGAAGAGGAAAGGCGAAGGATCCCTTATCTCTGCTCCCATTTAAATCTCCTGCCAGTAGCAGCTACTGTTGATTGAGGCTGTTTTCTAATTCTCCATAGAATCTAAGCATACTTTGTTTCAAAGAGGAGACTTGGGCTTCAGAGAGGTAGGGATGGGAGTTCAGGTTTATTTGGGAGAGGGCTAGCCCTATGGCCCTGTGCTGCAGGGTAGCAGACTCCCAAGACTCCCAAATGTAGAACTACATTTGGGGTGTTTGAGAGCAAGCTGAGAGCAACCCCTGCATAATAAGCACTGGGACAGAAGAAACCAAGGGAAGGAAGTGGAGTCCTGGACTTTCCATTGTAGTGTCAGAGTTGAAGCCTCCGTTGACTGGGGAGGGAGCAAGTCTCCCTTACCTGCCTCTGTTGCTACTCATGCAGCACCCCAGGGCCCCTGCCCCAGGGAGGTTACTGCTGTTGCTCTGGCTTCCTTTGCTTGCAAGTAGCCACAAGGCACTGCCAGGGCAGCCAATTGCAGTCAGTTCTCCATTTCCCTGGTGCTTATGAGGGATGGAGAAGGTGGTCTCAAGGCCTGGACAGCCCATGAAAGGCAGAACTGAGAGTCTGGGGGAGGAAGTGAAAGTCCTCATAGATCAAGAGGAAAATGCAGAGAAGTAGAAAATACCCAGCTGCCCTCCCACACCCACACAGACTCAGCCCACAAGTTCGAGAGTGAAAATAAAGACATTGTAGAGGAAGCATGGAGCAAATGACTGTGAGATATCTTGCTTTGGAGAAATGAGGGGCTAAGCTGGTAGCAACAGCTGGTTTAAAGGGGAAATCCACTAGCACCCAGACCTGAGAGCTTATAGCCAGGAGGCAAGCTTTCCTTGGGAGCAACACTGCCCACACGTATGGAAGCTGGTGGGACGGTTCAGGTGTGCTCACCGTGCAGGGGCCTAGACGAACCGGGATTTAGGTGCTGGGCGTGGAAAGCTTGGACAGGGGTGACTCAGGTTCTTTCCATCTTCTGCAACGCCAGACAGTGCTTGAAACAAGCACGCACACCTTTTAGTCTCTCAGAGCTCTGTCTTATCTTCTGAAGTTCCCTTTAGGGCAGCCTCTTCCTGCACCCAGAGCCTATCTGCATTCCTAACCTCACCCTAAATCAGTATTTCTCAAAAAGGATAGTTCATCAGAGTTGGTTGTGTGGGTGTTGGAGTAGGGGATGGGGTTTGACAAAAATGCCTATGTTTGACTGACTCCCCAGATTACTGAGTAGAAGTATCGGGGAATGTCAGGGAAGAGGCTCAGGAAACGTCATTTTCAGCCAGTGCCTGGTGTGTTTGGTGGGCACGGTCAGATTGGAAGATGACTGGCTGATAGGTTGGATTGAGGAACAGGCCCTCCCCCATCAGGCTTCTAGTTGCCAGAAATCTCACTGTGCCTTGGCTCTCCCTCTTGTTTATTCAATACAGCAAACATTTATTGAGTCCGTGTAAAACCCTACAGGGCCTGTGTGGGACCAGTTGCCTAGCTTCCATAGTTAAAGTGACTTGGAAATGGTGAAGTGCAAATCTCTGAAAGGGAGTGAGAAAACTCAGCTCTCTGATGTGGCCGGTTGGTCCCAACTGCCTGGAGGCCGGGGTGGGGGAGAGTTCTCCCAGGAAGGAACTGGACCCTGAGACAGCAGGCACTCTGGCCCTTCTGCATTACCTCATCTCTGACCCTCTGCATCCGCCCCTGTGAACTGGGTAAACAGTCTCCTTTCAAAGGATTATACAAAACAACCCAGGTGCTTACTGCTGTGAATCTGCACCCCCTTCTCTCGCCACCCCCCACTTTCCCTGTCCCACAGGTCCATATGCCACAGATCTGGTGAAGAAGTGCATGCCCAGGCATATGTATTTAAAATATAGCTACTTAGTTGCACAAGCCACATTTCAAGTGCTCAACAGCACATGTAGCTAATGCCTACCCAGTCTGTCAGCACAGACCTAGAGCCTCTCCATTACGAGAACTTTCTACTGGACTGGAGTGCCAGAGGGCTTCTTCCAGAGGTTTTCTGTTGCTTTTTCCATTATCCTTCTCCAGATCTTTTATCCTCCACATTAGCACAGCTCATCTTGTACAGGTAATGGTTGGGGTTTGGAGTCAGACAGATCTCTGGCCATAGAGAGATGATCTGAGCTTGGATGAGTGATCTTGCCTCTCAGAAGGTAAGAGCTCAGTGTGCATTTCATGTAGAAAAGATGATCATACTTCCTCAAAGGGTAGTTATGCAGGTGAAATGAGCTAAGTAAGGTGTTATACAGTATATAGGAAAGCCTCTAGTACAGAAAAAGTGCTTAAGTAAGTGTAGTTAATGATTCACTCGTTTGAAAAATATATTTTGAGCCCCTGCATGTTCCTGGTACTATTCTAAGAGCTGCAGATGCCACAGTGAACAAAACAGACGAAAAACTCTGGCTCTTTGGGGCTTCATTCTAAGTGGGGATGTAAATTAAGCATACAGAATGATAATGGCTACTATGAAGGAGGAAAAATAATATATAAATAATAAAAATAAAATGGGAACTGTGGGTCTGTGTCAAGGGCATGTACAATTGATATTTTTGATGGGAGGCCATGGAAGGTCTCTAAGATATTTGATTGAAGGCCTGAAGGAAATATTAACATATTTAGAAATTCCTTATACTTTCATCTTGGGCGGGAAAATTTCTGTCTCCTCTTTGACAATCTGGGACCTCCTGAGGGCCAGCTGTGTTCTGGACAGAGGACACCATGGGGACACACAGGTGCCCTTTGCCATGGTGAATTCTGAGGAGAGGGAAGTGCTTCAAGTCCTGTTCACCGAAATGGGAGTCTTCGCAAGAGAATCCTGGAGGGCTGGAGTGGTGATGGGAAGCTGGCAAAGACAGGCTTTTAACCCTCAGAACATCAGTCCTGGTGGAGCCTCTGGGGAGCTGCTTTTAAGTAATGCGTAAGCTTTATTTTCTCCTCTGGGCTAGAGGTCAAAAGTGTCTGGCAGAGTCAGGGACTGCCTGGCTTGGTCTTGGGTTCAGGTGTGACGTCTGCTGAGCCCCAAAAACCTCCACCTCTTCCCTCCCACAATGCTGCACTTTCTTCCCCGCCTGTCCCTGAGACCCCTCAGGCTGTCTCCCCAGCACCTGTTCTCGGCCTCCATCCTTCAGTCTTCCCGTGTCTGATAGTTTTCGTGACAGTCACTGAGTGTGGTGTGTCAGCTGTGTGCACGGAACTCTGCGCCGCTCAGCCTCTGTGGTCTCGCTGACTTCCCAGTGGCCTGCAGTGGGTGGAGTGTTAACCCACCACATGGACGGTGGGCTCAGGGCCAAAGCGGGAGACCAGGAGGTGGGTTTTGGACATGTTGAAACTGAAGTATACTTGGGACAAGAGAGAGATGCTGAATGAGTTGGATACTGGAGCCTGCAGTTGGGGAGTGAGGACTGAGCTTGAGATGTGAATTTGGGATCCTCTGAAGTTGTTTCCAGCTCAGAGAGTAACTGAGGTCAAGAGCACAGATAGAGAAGAGGCATGGCCTGAACCCTGGGGCACCCCGACCTGACATGGTGAGAACAAAACCAGGGTGGTTGCTGTCCTGAGAACTGAGCAAGGACCACCTGGCAAAGAGGAGGGAAAAAATGAGGTGTTGAGCCCTGCTGAGAGGCCAGGCAAGTGGATGGCTGAGGGGACTTAGCCACAGGCTGCTCCATGATGGCTAGGGCTTTTAGTGGAGTAGAAGAGACCAAAGACTGGAGCAGATTCAGGAGACAACAAGAGAAGGGAAACTGGAGACAGCTGGTATAGCCTACCCCCTTGCAGACTGCTGGTGGAAATGATCTCGTCAAGGCCAAAAACTGACAGGGGAGAATTGCTGAAACACTGTCTCTGAGTAGGCAGAGAAAACTGAGGGTCAGAAAGGTTAAGTAGCTCACTCAAGATCACACA